CAGCTGAAAACAAAGATCTGTTACAGGTACAGCCTGTAACTGTGCTGGGCACAGTTCTCCAGCAAGTTTCAAGGCTCCCACCAAAAAACAGGTTAATTCTTTCCACATGATAGAGGAGGTAAGGGCCCTAAAAGCAGGTTCAATCACACCTACAAAAATCCCATCCTAGTCAGATTTTCCAGTGCATAGTTCTTGGGGAGAAAAAGTGCCTCATAGCACACTATACCATTATATTGAAATCAGTACAACAGCTTTAATTCACTAGGTCTTAGCCTTGTTTGTAACACTAAACAGATAAGGCTCAGTTTGTGTCATTCTGGTCTTAGCCTTGTTTGTAACACTAAACAGATAAGGCTCAGTTTGTGTCATTCTGGTATACCTGACTCAAATTATGCACCAGCAAAAAAAAACAAAAAACAAACAAACAAACAAAACCACCAAAGAAAACCCACTAAACTATAATTTTTCACTGATATTTTTTTCAAAGCAGGAAACCAAAGTTACTACCTCATACTGAGGCACGCTGGTAGTAATTGACTGATTTGTAGCCTCTAAACATTTGGTGGCTCCCAGTCTGATGTGGGCAATATTCTCAAATTTTAACACTTTACCTGGTTACCTGGAGAGTAGAATAATAAATACAAACAAATAAATTTTATTATAGTACAGTTCCTCTGCGTCTATCCTGTTGTTTGTTGTTGTTGTTTTATAGTGGATTTTTTCCTTATGCTTCTTTCTGTTATTTGCTGGTTGTGAGAGCAGAAGGCTTCAGCCTCAACTCTTAAGGATACACCAAAAAACAAAAGTAGGTGAATGATATGAAGTAGTCACAAACAGTTTTTGCTACAGCAGCAGATGACTAGGGACACTCATCCTCTGCTCCCCCAACAACCTGTTCTATTAAACTTAAATAATATGGAAAAAGGGAGCAACTACCATCACAATATTAGTCAAAGTAGTTTAAAGGAAAGACTGAAAAGTTTTGTACTTCTGGAAAGTAGGAATGCTCATTATCTGAGTGCTACAGCCCCAGAGTTTTCTTGCGTACTGTATCAACAGGAACAGAAAGGTGGCAAATCATCTTTTCAAATGTCAGTAGAGATGGCATGCAAAACTCTAATTCATCATTAAATCCAAGTGATTTCTAAGGCCTCACAAGATGAAAGTCTCTCTGAAGCAAAGCTGAAGCTGCAGTTCTTAAGTGCATATCATTTGTGTGGGATGATTGTGATAAATTGCTGGTTCAGTGATGCAGTTTTGTGGTTTACATTATGTAAAGTCACTGTTACACAGTAGAAGGAAGACCAACAGAAGCTAAACAGTGGTTGAACTAGGTCAGGTATGAACTAAATCCAGGTGGTTCCAAGCCTGTTCTGAAGAACTTGTCCTGTGCCACTTCCTCAGGTATACACAATCACTTCCTCCTTCACACAAACCCCTTAGAGAATGAATCAGATTTATGTGAGCAAAGAGTTTCTCAGACCTACTAGTAGATCATCCCTGTTAACCATCCTTCCATTCACTAGGACACCACTTACTACAGCCTGCACCGAAGGTCTAACACCACTGAGGTATTAACTTCTGCACAGAAATGCAGAATACTGCAGTTTCCCCTCAGTGATCGCTGTTCATCTTCAGTTGTCTGCAAAAGGACAAGACCCACATGACAAAAGAAAACTATCCATACCTGCTCAAACAAAAGCTCAAGCATGGATGTCAAGCAAACACCCACTCCAGAATGTCTATCTGTATGAGTTGGCTTGAATTTAAAGATTGAGTTTTTTAATTCCTTAATAATACCTTTAATAAAATAATAATACTTTAATAATACCTTAATATACCTTGAGAATTTTTCCAATTAGTTCATTTAGGAACACTTCCTATTTTGGAAAGCCTCCACATGTCAGCCTCTCGCTGACAGTTTACAGAAAGCGAGCAGAACAGAAGTGCTGTTATTTGAACAAGGGCGCCACGTAGTGTTACAAACTGATGGAACACAAAACAGGCAATCTCTCCTTAGGCTTCCCTGGGTAAAGCTAAAACATGGCCATTATTACACACAACTGGGAGTCTCCCCAGTTTGTGATTTTTTTATGGAACAGGAAACAATGTAGCACTCAGTGTAAGAAGGAGAAATTAAATACACCTTTCCGTGGTTCGTGCTGCAGCCTGAAATGTCAACTAGCTAAAAATTACTAAAAGTAAAACAAAGTAGGTGTGAACTCCATTGCATTTGAACCAAGTAATTTTAGTTCAAAGTGCACACAGGCAAAGGACGTGACTTGTAGCTAAGCCAAGAGCAGATGACCGGTATTTGAAGGCTGCACCTAACAATCAAAACAATAAACTACTTGTGACACTAATCACAAATTTCTACCTGCCATCTATGTTCCTGCCAATATCAAACCCTTCCACAGATTTTTTTTCAAAGGAGTACACAAAAAACTTTGGAAGACACTGGAATACAATGACACATTAATTCCTCTAACTAGTTATTCAGGAAAAGGGCAGGAGTGATGGTGAGAACAGAAATGAGGTAAAAATAGCAAGTTTTTCCATTAATTTAAGTTACAATACTGCACATAAGAGCTCCCATAAGAAACCAGACAATACTGCAAGCAGTAGAAGAAGAAGAAAGTAACCCAGAGCAACTGACAATTTTGAAGTTGAATTACATGTGGAACAAGGACTTTTTTTTCTTCTTGAGGAAAAGAAACTCCTTTAAAAAGTTAAACTATTTTAACATTAAATTTCAATAATCATTTCTCCAGGAAGGATTTACATAGTTTAATGTATAAAACAACATCTACAAAAAAGAGACAATCCATTCTGCTCCTAAGCAAGACTTTTCTAGTTTCCTTGTGACAGCATTTTCACATCACTAAAAATGATAAGAACTTCTATTGAGATATTTACATTCATGTTTTAAAACCCATGTTCATTGTTACATGTAAATTAAACAACCCTCAGTACAGCTTTTGTATTACAGAAAGGATCTGGCATTAATCTTAATTTAAAAAGCCATCAATCATGTCTAGGTTGAGTGATTTTTCTTCCATAAACTCACAGCAGATGAAAGAGTCCCACAAGATTTTAACAGTAGATGAGCCTGAAATTCCCAGGCTTTTGAGATCAGAGTTCTCTAAAAAAACCCTACACTTACAACCCAAGCTGAAGGACAAGAAGCATGGGGCCAACTGTGTAACTCATTTCTTGGTAGTCCCCCTTTCCCAATCTGCACATGACTTTTCTAAGGGAGATGATTCAACTTGGACTCACTGGCAGTCAGCTGCTGCTGACAAAGGGATTAACCCCAGCTCCATAAATGCCCTTATGGCTAAATCAGATATCTGAGCAGCCAGAAAGACCACTGACTACAAACAAACACGTAGCTTCCTGAATATTACCTGTCCATGCAACAGGCTGCACTATGGACTTGGGAAGGTGGAGGAGGAGAGAGAGCAGACAGCTTTGGTAACTGCAGAAAACCACCACCTCACCCACACCTACAAGTATTTTAGAGCTGGCCACACTTGTAGAGATGTTGATGTGAAAGTCTATACCAAGTCAGGCCTCACTACTCACTGTTCTATTCAATACTCCCAACACCTTCATTCCCAGCTGCCTTAGTAGCCCTAGCCTAAAAATGTACTTTCAGTTGTTGCAACTAAAAAGCAATACTTTTGAGTAAGAAAAATGAAAATGTGTGGGAGCAAGCTGTTTAGAGCCATGTAACAACTGCAAAGCACTGTAACTGCACAGTGTATTAAGGTTTCATTTTAAAAATGCCCTTTCAAGAGTATCCTTGCATACTTAGACAAACCATGAACCAAAAAAGTTAAATATAGTCTCTTTCTAGTCTCTGTACCTAGTTCATATATTAGCAGAAACCTTTTGTTGTCTAAAAAATTGCCCTCCAATATTCTTGCAGAATTGTTATATTCTTATATTCTATAATTCTTATAGTTCTGTCTTCTAGATATGCCAGATCAAAGGGCTCTCACTTAACACTAGCAGAAGCTGCTTTTCCTGAAGTTGATCTAGCTCCCAATTTATGTTTTGCTCAATAGCACAAATACAACTGCAACATTCCAGAGCAAGTATTTTCATTCCCACTAAAGCATCAATTGGCATAAAGACATCTTATTCACACAGTCAAGTAATTCAGAGCAACCAAAGACAGTAAAACAGAAATCCATAAACACAGATAGGTTCTTCCTAGCTGAAGAAGGTTTGAATTTGGGATAAGTTAGAATAGGTTTTAATGCATTTATATTGAAAACATGTTTTCTCTTTATGATTTAGAAGCACCAAGAGGGTTGAGACAGAGCAGTATTTTGAATGAGGCAAATGATGGTTTTACTAAAGGACTGAAGTTCCCAAACTCCTATATTTGTTGTGTAAATACACTGCTCTTAGAGCAGACAGTGCTTTTCGCATTTTACTTTTATCTATTTAGCTCATTCATCAACCTGCATTTGTGACAATTTTTCACCAAGTTTCACAGCTTGTTTGGTTAGGGATTTCCTTATGCACAAGACTGTCAAGAGCAGGAAGTTGGCACATCACATATTATGAGAACACAAAGTGGACAGACTGATCCAGATCAGTCATATCTTGCCAGTTCCCCAACAATATTCACAAAAGGTTTAGGGAACTATCAAAATAACATTTTCAGCACACCTTCTCAATCTCCTCTTAACCTATATAACTACTGTGCTTAAAAAGTAGAGCTTTCATTCTTTACTCAGGCAAAGGTTCATTAAGAGTCCCATCAGAAGACAGCTTTTGTAGGACTGCAGTATTCCTCTCTAAATTTGAATTCCAGACCTCCCTAACACTGAGCATGACATGCACGTGCAGTTATTCTTCAATTACATCTTCAGGGATGTTGAAAAAAAAGGACATGTTGAGAAAAAAGTTGTAATAAAAGGTATTTCTTGCAGATTTTTCAACTGCACAGTATTTTGTCACAAAATTCTCAAATACTTATTTCATACTTGGTTGGTTGCTATCAGGAAGGCAACAAGGAATACTATATTTCCACAGACATAGATGGTTAACACAATCTGTTTAAACAGACGACCCTGCAAGAAAAGGGAAAGAAAAGTCACTGAACAGTCAGTATTTTTATTGGGTTAAACAAAGAATCATCCCATCTCACAGTAGTTAGTTACCAAATTGTGACTCACCTCTGCTTCTGCAGATGTTAGTGACTGCAGTATCTGTACTCTGTCATCCTCTATCACTTCAGCTGCTCATGGGAAGAAAAAAGAGAAGTCAAGTCTGATCTTAAGAGGAAGGGGATTTTCATTTTTATACCAAAGTCTTCCTTTTATGCCAAAGTCTTAATCCTATAACTAAGTCTTATACAACATTCAATCTGAAAAAGGACCTGGAAGTCTCATTTGACATTTCATGACCTGTTACTGTCACACTCGCAGCACAGATTAAAAATTATTCTGGAGCTGACCTACAAAAAGTAAATTCTGAACATTGAAGTCAAAAAACATTTTGTCTCTTTTGCTAGATTGAATAATCAAAACACTGAGTTTTGAGCTAACACCTTTTCTTTTTGTATTTTGAGATAACTGGATTTCATTAAGAAGTATTTTCATTAGCCAAGATGTGAACACTCACTGTCCAACCATTTCGAGTTGATTTCCCTATTTCTAGTAAGCAATTACTGCAGTAAAATTCAAATTCACATCTTTTATAATCACTCCCCCTCCACATGCCACCTTATACACAGTTAATCACACTTCTTCAATTCTGCAGCTGTCTCGTCTCAGCCTTAGACCCAGGTCATTCACGTGTGCAGCTCCTCTCCGTGACACCAGCCAGAGATGATAACAATTTCTAATGAAGTTACTACCCCCTCTCTTCCCTAGACATATTGGAGTCAGGATTTCATATTCCTTCCCCAGTTAGTCAAAATGGCAAGCATTCAAACTTGCTCCTGCAATAACAGCAATTTATCAACAGTTAAATGCAGATTAAATCTGCATTAATTAATCTGGACTTAACCCACCTGGGATCAAAATTATGGCAAAAAATAAGAGTCTCAGAAAATACTGTCGCATTTCAGTCGGCACATTTCAGTCCCCTATGAACTGTAGTTTGAGAAATGAGAAGCTACTATTTAAAATGGCACAAAACCCACTCTTCTAGAACAGTTTTGTCTTGAAAACTGTTTTTCTTTCATATTCATTTGTCTACAGAAGATAGGATACTATTACTCAAGACTTACTCCCTTTCAGCATCCATGTTAGAGGCCAAAGACCTCCTAAAATTCAATCCACACTGGTTTTATGCTCAGCAAGCAAGGGGATAAGAGGAGTTGTGCTAAGTTTGTACCTTTACGAATAAGACAGTAGCTGTGTATTTCCAGCAGAACATCAGTACCAACATGCCAAGCTACAAAGCCAATCATTGCATAGGTGTCCCATGGGTCTGGCAGGTCAAGTGCAGGCAGATCCATTCCCAAGAACATAGTCACAACTATTCAGTAAAAACAAGATTAAAAAACCAATAAGAACGTGCCAGTGTGCTTTAAAAATGCTCTCAATGCTTTTGTAAATAGATTTCCCATTAATTACCTAAAACTGCTTGAGGAATGAGGTTAAAGGAGTTCATACAGCTGAAAGTTGTTGAGGGTTTTTTGGGGTGGAATGGGGGTTGTTTGAGTGGGGTTGTTTTGGGGTTCTAGTATTGTGAGGGCCTACGAGGAAGAAAAAGGCCAAGATAATTTTCAACCTGCTTAGTGCCCCGTCAAATTACAGCCACACAAACACCAGCATCTGTGTCTAGCAACAAGAACAATCACCACAATATTAGTATTTCAGGTTCCTGTGGAAGCTTGCCTCTATTATTAGAATTAAACCCTGGATTAGAATTATTAGAATTAAACTTCTGGATCTGTAAGTGAAATTCCTGTCTCCCATTCAATAACATTGAAGTATGCTACTGTAAGAATGCTCATATCTTCCAAGACAAAAAGAAATTATGAAGGTAAGGAGAGGTCCTTATTACAGAGAAATTTCAGATTTGTCAGTAATTCCCTTGATTTTGAAGTCACTTTATTTCTAAGTTGTATCCAATGGCCCCTTAAAACTCACAGAAAAGATGGCCAAGAAAAAGGCACTTCAGACATGCCTGGACTGGATGTCCATAGATGGTTTAGAAGAACAACAGCCCAGAAGAAGGACAAAGCTCCTTTAAATCAGTTAAATGGGAGTTACAACTATTACTTCTACTCACCAGCTAATATTCTAGCTGTTGTACCAGTACTCCAGTGAAACCAGTTAAACAACTGCCTCCTGCAAAACAATGAAAAACATTTTATTGATTACATAGGTGGAGGAAAGGGGCAGAAATCAAAGAACATTTTTGCCTACTTTCAAGCTGTAAAAGCTTTCCATTGTAAAAAGAATGTTTAAAGAAACAGTCACATTGAATTCCTGTGACTGTAATTTAATGAGTCAGTTGTACCTTGGCGAGTGACGAGATGGTCTGAAACCTGCCATAAGTGGTTGAAAGATTGTCAAAGCCATCACAGCACAGCCAAGATAAGGATGAAAACCTGCTTGCTAAACAGAGGACATTTTTCTTAAATATAATATCTATATAAACAGACAGAAAAGACACCAAAAAGTTGCAAATTTTATTTTTTCTTGTATTAGTAAGTTACAGTGGAGCAGCACTGGCAGAGGCAACAGGACACAATAAACTGCCCTACAGCCACATGGAGATTGTTTGCCTTGGTAGCAGATGCACTGGTACATCTGCTCAGGGTTTGTCCCACCTTTTGGCTTTATTGAGAAATTCTACCAGCTGAAGATCAGACTAATATGACTATAAAAGCCAGAGTCCAAGCTCTCCAGTCTCAATCCTGTGTCTTCAGGATAAGTGTATTTTATAACTCTTCCCAGCACTGGTCTTCTCTCTCACCCTAAAACATTTTATTCAATTTCCCTACCTCACACACATGTGACTGTAATTCTCCCACCTTGAATTCAGACACTCTCTAGACTTTCCAGCTTTTGATGTCACCTTGCATCAAAAAAAAATACAGGTGACAGCAACAGGTATATAATCTCTATCTAGCTACTGATCTAGACTACACTTTCAGCAGATGCAATTATGTCTAAGTTCACAAAAACACTTATTCCCAGCAGGTTTACCATGCTAATATGTCAGCCATCACACCCTTACTCCCCTCACAAATTCATATTCTCTAAGGAAACAGTAAGACCAAAACAGCACATAAAAATACTGCAAGCAAGGAATTTTTTTAGGAGAAAGAGGAAGGAAGGAAAACACTGGAAGTTTTCAGCTGTAGTTTAAAGGAGACAATTTTCCTCTTGTGTGTTGCTAGGATTTGAAATCAGCTGCTTAAGAACATCTTTCAAAAAGAAAGATGCATCTAAGCAAAAAGAAATTTGCTTAGAAATAATCATAACATATTAGTTGTCACACACTTCCTCATTCATTTAGTCCCACCTCTACCCCTGAGTTACCAACAAGACAAAAAGTACACACTTACTTGGCTCCAACCTCCTCGGTATACAAAAGGCAACACAAAAGAAATGCTTGTCAGCATGACTGTGACTAACATAAGCATACGATGCACCTAGAAAAGTTAAGTTTGCTTTTAGAAACTCTACAGCTCTCTTAATACATTAAAAAAAATTAATTAGATCTACAGTTAAAGTATTATTAAGCCCTACTTTAGACTTTATCTTCACTACTAAAGTAGGTGTTGTAATTGTTCCACTTTATAGGATTAAAGAAAGATGTAAATCATAGCATGTTTAGTCTATTTCTTGGATCTAGTGGTTTATAATTTTGCTTGCAATAATGCTAGAAAATACAGCTGAAGATATGTGGAGATTCTGCCCACCTGAAACCACAACTCCTTTCCAAGTAGGAATGAATGAGACCAGACAGGTTTGAAGAATCGTGCAACAATAACACCGATACTAACTGTGGTAATCCAAGTAACAAACATTAGTGCTCCTGAAAATAGAAAAAACAAACAATCCAACAAGGTAAATGATAGGTAACTTAAGTGCACATGAATACAACTTCCAAGACTATGTAATAGTTCAGTCCATATGCACATGGTCAGAATTTACCCATGATTAAAAACCTATCACCTGGTTCAGGCTACAGCTTCATAACCTTTATCTTGCTATAGGACCAAGATATCCATGTAAACGATAATCATACTTTGCCCACATAACACAACAGAGCAGCTCTGACTACTGCACATTTCACACATGCTAAGTTTCACACCACACTTTGTACATACTGGTGAGAGAAACCATTCTATCACCAACTCAGACATCAGAGGATGAAAGATGTCATTGCTACAATCTGTGTGACAAAGAATGAGTGGCAGTTCTACCACAGACCTTTATTAAAGTCCAGTAGTGTGGGAGAAAAAAATTCCCATTAACTTCAGTGGCTCCAGACTGCCAGTCAAGTGGTTTCTCATTTCAAATAGAACTAAATCAAAAATGCAACTACAACAACTTGAAATAGAGAGAAAGAGATAAACAAGTCCAAATTATAAATTTAAGGGAAAGAGCAAGGGCAAGTTTATTTTTCTGGGAAAAAGAATCTTTCAACACAGCTCTTGAAACAAAAAATTAGTAATTTCACTCTGCCAGCAGTATCAGATCTCACTAGTCAACAGAACATACAATGTAAATGCCAGAAAAACACAAGGGAATACCAACTCTGCAATAACCCTCCAGTCTCACCAAGTCTAAAACTGGAAGACAAAACTAGAAAGTGCAGCTTACCATGAGCCTTGATAAGCCGTGGGGCCCGGGAACCTCCAATATCCTGAGGAAGACCCGTGACATTGTACAGTCCATTGGTTACAAGGGGCTGACGATGATGTTTGTATATAAGCCCACCTGAGCAATGACAAAGTGGTTTATTTCTTGCTAATGAAAGCCATTGCACTTGTAAGTGTGCCCATTCCTCATTCATGAACTCAAGCCCTGTTGTGACCACTGCACATAATCATACAAACTAACACACAATATGGTAAGAACCTAACATCACCTAAGCTATCCTGCATGCTTAATGTGCAAAATGCAACTCACCCAGCTACAGTAAATACCTTCTTTCCTCCACTACACACACAAGACACGAAGAATAATTCCCTTTGATTCTAGTTTCCATTAAAAAAAATAAAAAGAAAGATGTGGCCAGTTCTCAAGAAGTTATTGGTTCCTAACATCAAATGAGCATACAACACATATATGAGTAAATGTGCAATAACTTCCACAAGCAAACCCATCCAGAGTTTGATCCAGAGAAACAGTAAAGGTGACTAAATTAAAGGCCTCAAACTTGGAAACCTTAGTTTGGACACATATTCTCATCTAAGCTATATCTTACAGAAGGGTTACTAACTCATTTGGAGCTGTTAAATGAAAAGCAACCATATGTAAGTCAAGTTTACCTTCACCAGCTTCCCCATTTGCCAGAAAGATGTAGTAACTGGTATCCAGATTAAATCTCCCTTTATAAGCAGGGAGATGGATACTCCTTCTGAAAGAACATTGAAGAAGGCCATCTGCAAGCCTCCATGACACTTCTTCAAGGGAATTCTGTAAAACAGGAGATATTTAATACCCAGTGTTTTCAGACTGGCAGAGTAATTGGCTTAAAAGTAACCCTACAAGAGAAGCACTGGTATATAAAGAAAAAAGCAAATGATCGAGGGATGGGGGGGTCCCTTCTAAATTGGCATGCAAGAGGTATGTCATAGCAAGTCAAAATAGCAACTTATGGTTTGAATTGGTTTTAACTAATTTTTACAGCCCATAATAATGTTTAACCCAGGACATACCAGTTGCAGCTGCAGTTCTAGCAAAGGGACAGACCAATATTAAGCACAAAGTTTCTAAATAGACTAAGCTCCCATCATGTGACTATCTTTACACATTAAATTCAGACTTCCAAAGTTAACATTTTCTAGGAAGTAAGAGCCCAGCCAATCTCACCTTAGAGAATTCTGGATCCACCTCAGTATTTACACCTGCTGTGCAAAAGAAAAGCACAAAGCAGCAGCATACCTTACTTCAAAGCTACATCTGTGAAAGTGTCTGACTTGTTTTAAAATGTACCTCTGAATCCAAGAGAGGATGACTTCGCTCCTTCAGACGGGCAGTGCTCACGTGAACACGGTGATCCTCATTAACACACAGGTAAGCATCATCACCACCCTGCAGAAAAGAAAAATATCTATAGCCCAATAAAAATACTACTGGGCAGTCTTCAAAAACTCTTTGACTTAATAAAAGCAGCAAGACCTGAGAGATTCCTGTAGTTACCAAGCTGTTATTTCCCATTTTTCAAACATATCAGTATTATTACTGAGAAACCATATTGTCAAGGAGATGACACATAGAAACATGCATAATGATTCACACTCCCCTCCCAGAGTAACAACCACATTATCAGAAGTTTCTTTCATTATTTAGAATTTACTAAATTAACTAGACTAGAGATGGATGTTGGAGCTATTTAAACATCCTCTTCAGATACATGATTTTTTTTCCTCCACAGATGTAAAAAAGTGTTGTTAAGAAACAAGTGTTCCTGCGCTAGGGATATGAATATAAACAGCATCTCCTTTGTGCAACAAGTAGCTTATAGATTATGCATTTGTCAACAGCATCATCCTTTCACTTTAACATAATTTAGAATGAAGCATCTTTAAACATCTTTAAGACTGTTTGTATAGAAGTAACATTCAAGGATCAAATGCAAATGGTTTTCAGAACAACAACTCAGCTTCTGAGGGGTAAGATTTTTTTAATGGGTAAATAAAGATTGATTTAACCAGGAATTTCAGTCAGACAGGCTGAATTCTGCCATAAGAGATATTCATAGGGAAATTCTACTGCAATTATTCGGTCCTGAGATAACTGTGAATATGTGTGAAAAGTGAATATCCACCTATAAGAGAAAACCTGTGTTTTAGCACTATAGGAGAATCACACCTTGTTCTATTTTCCATATGTATTTCCATTCAAACTTGACTAACATCACAAAAACAACTATGGAAAATAAAATAGAACACTCACCATCCACTGGTCATGGGAAAATGCAAATGCTAAATATCCTTCACTTGGACCACTCATTTCAATAAAAACTGAGCTCTCCTCTTGTTGGAATGATAGAAAAAAACAGGACGCACTTCCAGGATCACAGTTTGTAGGGTTCCTAACGCAGAACTTCATAATTCCACAACTTGATGCACTAAACTAAACAATTAAGAAAACAAACAATTTGTGAGCAATGAGAGTTTCTATTCTCTTCCTCCTTTCAACCCATGGTAGATAAAAAGCATACAAGGAACAACATCATTATGTCAATACACCAATCTCTTAAACCGTGTCTACAATTACCCTAGGACTACGAAGTAAAATAACAATGAACTCCAAGATAAATTTGATTTAAATTTCCACTTTAAAGACATTAAAATAGAAGAACATCAGAAAGTCAGTAAGAAGTTCAGAAAAAAACTTCCTCTGGTTTAGTAGTTGGAGAGGTAATATCAACTGTAAGATGAGAAAAAGAAGAAGGGTTCTACAGCATTACGCTTGCTTTTTAAAGTAGAAACTCCACTGATACACATTGAGAAAATATATTGATTTTAAGTCACAGTTATCCTGGATCAAATAGCAACGCTTGCTTGATCCATTCAAGACTCAGTAACAGAAGTCAGCAACACAGATGAACTCCGAGAAGAAAGCTTCTGAGCCTGCAGTTGCTAAATAGGAAGTCATGAGTCAAGACCAGATTAAGTCTTTTCTCATCTCTCATGACCAGTATGCACAATATTTTCTGATCATTAATTTCTGAATGTTCTGGTAATCTCCTGATCTGTGTGCAGCACGAGAATATTTGACCCTGCAAAGTTCAGGCAACTGAACTGAGCAGCTGTCATGTTCTTAGCCTTAGATATCAGTTGCTCATCCATCATCTTACATTTTCTGTTAATAGGCTGTATCAATGTCATCTCATTAAATTCCATTCATCACAAGCATTAAAGAAAGCCTGATTTAGCTTGATAATTACTTACTGGCTTTGATATGTAGGAAACCGGGTGTGAAGTTGACATAGCCTCTGTCGTTGCATGCAAAGGTGGTGTTGGGGAGAGGACATCAGGCTGGGAAACAATGGGACCTGGAATCTTTACCCAGAAAATCCTGTATTTCTTCACAACTGTCGCTCTTAAAAAAAAAAACACAACACACACAGAATCATTACTGTATACATTTATAGCTACCTGCTACTTTAAAAAGAAAAAAAAAAAAGGAAGAATCTATAGTTCACACAATTTGTAAAACCCTCATCTTTATTGAGACCTCTATCATTTTCTGGAGTAGGAAAATATCTTAAATCTCAGTAGAAAAAGAATTTTAAAACATAATACCACATGCTGCAGTGGATATAAGAAACATTCATGCCTATGGCATTGATTAGAACTTCAGAGAAGAGTTGCCTTTATCCTGTAGTTCACAAAAAGCTAGTAGTCTAAGAGAAGAATATACATATCATTTGGTTAGGTGCAGCAAAGAAAAAGATTCTTAACAGTGTATATTGCAGGTATGAGAAGTGAGAAAGTAGCTAGAAAAACTAAAGAAAACAGTCTCCAAATCCCCTTATACTTTCCCTGGGGAGAGAAAAAATAAAATAAAATTTAAAAAAAAAAATAAAAATCAAGCTCTCTCTAAAAAGTTTCTGCAGCAAATAAGGGGTGTTGAATTTTCAAGCCATTGGACCCAAGGGCTTTTCAGTTGCTGGACAACATTTGACACAGACAATGGTACAGGTTTACCTTTTCTGCATTTCAATAAATTAGAATTGATATTAGGCTTACTTACAGAAACTGTACATGCTTTGGAGCATCTCCAGGAGCAACCCAATAAACTTTTATGTCTTTCTTTTTTGCTTTACTTGTGTGACTGACAGCTGAATTCTGGAAACACACACATATCAAGAATTACATAGTGGATACACATTTTGTTATTTAACACAGTCAGCAGAGCCCGCAACTAAATCTTACAGAGACACTGCACAACCCCAGTGCAACTGGCTTTTCCTCAGTCAGTCACAATCAGCTCAAGCGAGGTGTAGCACTGCAACTTAGTCATAATAACAAGCTTCAAGAGTAAAAGGAATGAATTTCAGTCCAGAAGACTCCACCAATGAGGCAGAGGTCCCTGCAGCATTTATGCAGAAATAGTGATGTTTTCTTAGTAAGGAAATGCTCCACTTTTTGACAATAAGAGGATGAAGAGACAATGTGCAAAAAGAGTGCAATGGCTCCTCCTTTTAATATTAGGAATACATAATGTTCATTGTGTAAAATTTGCATTACCAAATGCTGCATCTTACTGCAGCAGTCAACAGCCTTCTGTCACCAGGACAGTTTAAACAGCTCATAAGAACAGTCCAGAGCTGCAGTGAGTCATGCCTTTATACCCCAAGTTGGACCCATTTTCCCAGAGACTCACTGAATTCATGGTAACATGGGTTAGCTCTGTCCTATTGCAGGCATATTCCAGTACAAGCCCCTCCATGCCCAGTGAATCATTTTAAGGCACTGGACTCTACCTTGGTACGACCACATGTCAGCAGCTGAGAACGTCTCCGGTCAGCCAACACAAAAGAACCAACTGCAGGGCTATCCAGATGTTCTGCATCCCGGGCTTGTATGAAAAATCCTTCAAAATCTGGTCCAGACAAATGAACTAAAGCAAGAAAAAAAACAAAAGCAAGTTTAACTCTACTCCAGAGGAAGAAGGAAGTATTTCAACAATGACTTGCCAGATGCTCATTTTACAAGTACTGAATGATGGTTAATGGATTACCTAAACAAGATTCCACTGCTTAGATAAATCCAGTACAGAAAACTGAGGAAAGACATACTATAATACAAAGAAGCAATAAATTAAACTCTTCAGCTATAACTGACACAATACCTTCTATGCTGTCCCCTGGTTTAAATTCAGTCCCATTCACTGCAATGGTGTGCTCAGGTGACAGCTGAGGAGAGCTACCATGACAGGGTACCATGCTAGTACAGGCTTCTCTTACTTTTCCATTTGGATAGCCAACCACAGATGCATAGAGGCAAACAAACATCCAAACAGCAACAGAAAAAACAGACATATCCATCTGTATAAAATAAAATTTACAGGTAGTTAAACACAATGAATATTTATATTATAGGTCACCACTCCTCTTTAGGAATCAGTTGAATGGTAGAATACAAAACCACGTTTAAAAAAAGCATTTATGAGAAGACACCACTCGCAGCCACTGAGTAACTTCTGCTTCTGATAACTGCCAGACATTGTTAAAATTTTCAGAGAACATATTTCAGGCCATCTACAGGTGGTTGATGGATCCCTCCATCCCCTGGGTGGATTATTTCCCTCCATGCATTTTGACAGCACTTATTTTAAAATGTCTTTTGCCAATCCCTCTCCTGTTCTCTCTCAAAACAAAGGAAAATAAAAACTTCAAGTTGCACAGGACAGATGGATCTTAAAATGTGCTTCACAGATATATAAAGGTCAACAGTATTGAGGAATTATACAGCTAGTATCAAGCCCACTTTTATTACTCATAGTTTCAAATTTTGCATCATTACAGACTGCCTGTTGTTTCCACAACCCGTGTCTATTTCCTCACATATGACAAATAATTCCCCAGTAAAAAGTTCTTCTTTCTGCAGGAAAACTCCAGTTGGCAAATTCCAAAAATAAATTTTATACATGCAAGAGTGAGAATTTGGTATGAAGATTTAGACAAAGAAATATGTATGTTTGTTGTAGACAAGCACAAGACTTCTCCTTTGAACCCTTCCTTTTGGATATTGGACCTCTAGACAATTAGTCAAACAATGGATTGTTTGTCACACTCTTGTCAAGGGAACAGCATGCAAGAAAGGCGTGGGATGGTAGGACCCCAGATCCTAAAATAGTTATGTGACCCCTTAACCTCAGCTTTGATTACACAACACTGTTTTCATAAAAGCTGTAGCAATTGGTTTGCTGCACAGTAGTATGGAGGGCTTACAGCTGTACTGTGGTTTACAGAACACCTTGGCCAACAAAAGAAAATGTTTCCACATCCAAAAGGTAAAGAGAACAGAGATAAACTTCCTTTCAATCCTTAGGCACAAGAAGTGAGTTATCAGCTCTGGTGGAACATGGACCAGGCAAGTTGGTTAGCCTTCTGGAAGGGCCATGCCCATTTTGCAGCAAGTGATAAGAAGTATCATGTTATGAAGTTCCCTGACAGCATGGATGGACATGAAGATAAAAAACACACAGAGCCATTTCAGACTGAACTCTTGATACCTAAAATGCAGTCAAATGAAGACAAGGCACATCATAAGTCTAACACAACAGGAGTCATCAACATGAACTCCTCCAAAGTTCTCATACATGGAAATCCACAATTTCCAAGGCAATGCTATATTTGTACTTCAACATATAGGCTCCTCAGCAACCTTGCACCACTAAATAGAAGAAAATCAGAGGTAAGAGTGTGTTGCACAGTTAGGTTTCAAGAACTAGAAAATAAAAACCCAACATTCAACTCCTCCCAAATATTCAAGATAACATTACGATAATATCTTTCGCATTTAGTTAAAGTACTTCATCATAGTTCCAGCACTTCTCCAAATTGTCAAAAGTTTACATCTAATTGATTTTATACACAAGTTAAAGATGCCTATAGAAAGCTAAAGGCTAAGGTTCAGTACAATTATATGTACCAGAGTAATTCTCAAAACAAGGAGAAATAAGGCTGCATGTCATAGAGACCAGAAAAAGAGTAGGGCAGTATTCTGCTTTAAGTAGCAGAGGATGTGGTAGGGATGTAAAATGAAACAAGAAACATTCTTGTCAGATTCAACTGACTCAAAAGCTGGCAGAAAAAGATTAAGTAGAGATTAATAGAATAAAAAAAAAAAACCAAAGAAAACCCAACCAAAATCTGAAAAATATTTGGATAAACGGAGAGCAGTAAGTTGCTTCTTCCTGTGTTGAAAACAACTCCTACAGTCCCTGCAGGTATCAACAGCTAAGAAAGCCATGGTAACCTAATTGCTCATCAGCACAATGCACACAGTCCAGCTCAGGATCTCTTCATAGTGCTTATCTTCTTCCAGCTGTTTAACTTCATTAGCTGCATGGTGTAAAATCTAAAACTAACATTAGAGAGGAAGAAAAGATGAGACAACAGGCAAGGCAAACATACTGTCAGCTCAAAGGTACAAAAACTGCCATCAACAAAAATTTCTCCTGAGCACCATCAGACAAGAGGGCAAACAGAAAAGAGCTACCTGAAGAGAAATAAGCAATAGTAATATAAGGGGTTTATGAAGCATTCCTTTAGAAATAAACCCCTACAAAGGGAAACCAGACAGTCTTGCTGCCTAAGAGTCACCTCCCTCTGAATTAGAATTGCTCTTTAGCTTTGGTTGGCCTCTTCTGCTTAGTTAAACATGGTCATTTCACAACAGCTGGACTGAGCAAAGATTCATAATAATTCATTACTTTTAAAATACAAACACACCCACTCAGGCACATAAAACAACAAAACATACACACCTCAGCATCTTGTTCTTTCTAGGAAACAGAATTTCAAGGGCATATATGTTTCAAAATTATTTTTTGTAACAGCTTGAGTGTAGGTCCTTACCTTACAGCCAGTCCTTCTGTTACAGTGACGAAGACTGAGTGAAACTGCCATTGATTGATTCTCTGCTTGTAATAAAACAACTTGTATTATTTTGTAAGCTCTTCTATTTTGCTTGTATCTAACTGTATTAACTTTTACTGTACCCAGGAAGCTTGTCTGAAAAGAGAAACGGTACACACACAAAAAAAGTAAGTTTTATCAGAGCATCTTTACTCCAGGCACATATTTTTTACAGCTTCCCCACACTTCAGCTGAAATGCAGAATGCTGTAATGAAGCACTGACTCTGTAGCTTCCTTTACTTTGTCAGACACTTCCCCAGACCTCAAAAAGCCTCACACTAAGTAATCACTTAATTATCTTCTGGTGCAGTTAAGGATGGGCAGGGGAAACCTACAATCAACTTTTAATATTTCTTTCTCAATTTTCAACAAATTTGCAGCATGATTTTAAAGCTCACTATGCATTTACTCCCTATCAAAGAGATTACTTTATTTTAAAATAAACAATTTTTAAAATATAGTGACTTTGTCTTGTTTCCATATATCTCAGCAAGAATGAACAAGAAGCAAGGAGTTTGCCCTGTTCACTTGTTTGCTTTAATGATTTTATTCGGGCAGCTGGTCTGCATAGAATCTTCAAAGCCCCACCCTTGCAAACTTTTATGTATATGAAGAATCCAAAGCTAGAAACTGACCTAAAAAGATGCAGTTCGTAACTTCAACTAAAGCATCAGCATATTTACTGTCACAGTTATCATAGAGCCATCTCCTATGCACATTAACAGAAAAGAAAACAAAATAAGAAACTAATATTCACATAACAAGAAGCAAAAAAGATACCAGAGGAACATGGCAAGGCTTCCAGATAAAATAAGCCATAGCTTACCTTTACTCATTAAGGCACACAGGTTTAGGAGTTTTCTCTAAAGCAATTCAGAAATCTTGCATGAAAGGCAGCAGTTACAAGGGGCTTTAAAACCGCCACCAGATTTTAGTTTGCTTCATACCTACTGCAGATAATCTATTAATCAAATACGCTTTCCAAAAAGCTCGCGATATCCACTTTGTGCGCTCACTGGCATCATTTTAACCAAAGTACTACTACAAAGTTACAGCAGCTCCTCAGCCCCACTCTCCTCTCCGGCACCTCTCTGTTGCGGCAGAAAAGGGTGAGCGGTGCAGGGAAGGCAGGCGGCCCCTCGGTCTGCTGCAGCCTCCCCCGCGGCCGCGGCGCTTTTCTGGCTGCGGGGGCGGCGGCACGCGGGGCCCGAGGGGCGCGCAGG